TTTTTTTTTTTTTTTTTCCTTGCCAAAATCTAACTTTAAAGCCACAAATCTAGAAGGGATAAAAGCAAAATTCCTGTGGTTGAAGGGGGGAGAGATGAAGGGGCAGGAATCCCTCCCGCTCAGTCTTCCCATTGCCCCTTGGGCACTTCTGTGGGGCCCACTGATCCAGTCTAAGAATCTCATTGCACCGTGGGGAAAATGAGGCTCAGATGAGGGTGTTGCCCAATCTAGGGACACACAATTAACCCAAGGTGAGACAAGAACCCAGACCTGATGATGACCACATCCAACACATACTCTTCCATAAATGTACATGCTTGGGCAAAAGGCTATTTTTCTGACTATTCCAGGTACTATTCACTCAGGCTCACACAGCAGGGTCCAATCTCAAGGAGTTGAGAAGTTGGTTGTCCTTGATAGAATAACCTGAAATAACTCTTCTGCTGGTGCCAATCTCTTTCAGAAACAAGGAACAATAACAGTTTGGTACCCATGTATCATCCTAACTTCTGGATGGATGGGAGGTGGAGGTGCTGTGCTCAGCTGGAGAAGCTCGCAGTGGGCTGTGCCCAGTACGATCCAACCAAGAATGGTAAGAGACTGGGAATTCCCTTTCTTCTTGTAAAATGACCGACCTCTCTAGCAGGAGGAAGTAAAAGCTCTCAGCTTCCCACCATCACGGGTGTCGAGGATTGAATACAAAATTCTGCATCTTCAGAACTGTTGGAGGGAAATCATCCGCCTTTAACACTAGTCTGTTGACCTGTTTCCACTTCAAACCTTATGTCTTTATAGCTCCTTGCTACTAAAAGTGTGGTCCTTGGACCAGTAGTGTCAACATCATCTGGAAGCTAGTTAGAAATGTAAATTCTCTGGCCCCATCCCAGGTGCCAGATCAAAATTTGTGTTTTAACAAGATACCCTGGAGATTTGTGTGCAAAGTAAGCTTGGGAAGCACTACTATATAACCCGCAAGTTAGAAAATGTGAATGGCGTGGTCTACTTAAATCTCAAGTTGTAGAGAAAGCCTCAAACGTATAGAATATTATTTATTTGTTACAGTAGCACCACGTCACAGACATGTTTAATTATACCAGCTCAACTTTATACACTTGGAGGGGAAGAAAGTAAAATCAAAAGCTGTCTATTGTACTCTGTGGCTTTTCACTGCGTCCCCTTCAAATTTGTCGTTTATCTCCATAACCTCAGAGAAAAGGAAGCCACGGCCTAAATACAAAATGAAAACAAAAGACATTGTTTCTGGTTCTTGGAGGTCCAAGGCTCTGGAACTCACGATCGGTGTGTAACTCGGTTTTCTCTTCTGTGATGGCTCTGGGATCTGACCTTTCAATGAAGTGCAACTTCACTTGCATGCACTTTTACACATGATGTGCTCGCATTCCTCACAGTCATCTGGGGTAGATGTGTGAGGTCACAGAAACAGAACGCCTTGAGCAGTTTGGAATGCTCAAGGTCACACAGGGAGAAGTGCTCTGTAAAGGCGTTGTTGAATAGGAATGATGGATTGTGTGAATTGTTTTGCTTCCATTCTCCCCTCTTCTCAACCTCTCTTACCCTAGCCACCTTTTCTCATCTGTCAGTTTCTTTTTTGCACTAAAACCTACTACCTCGGATTGACAACCCAAGGCGGATGTGCTAAATGTAACCCATGGCTGGGTTTTCCGTGGCTTCCTGAGTCACAGCCCCTCTTAGTACCACCTTAAAAACCACCACTTCTCACCCTCCACCTTGGGAGAGAAAGTTTAAAGTTACCAATCCCATGGCCCCAAGGAACAATATATACCTAGTTTTAGAAGTCAGTGATCTTCGGCATTACCCTATGGTCTGTACTCATAAAGAGTATTTCATAAAAAAGAAACAGAAGGGTTTATATGGGTGGAACCCATCACAATAACAAGATGGCATGGGCTTTCCCCAGTGAGTGAAAGCCATTTCCAGAGCCAGAGATCTGGTCTCCAGATTCCTGCCAGCACTTGGCTGTGGGCTGTTGGATCAGTCACTCGGCCCCCAAGGGCCCTAATGTCCTCATCTCTCAAATGTTAGGGGAAGCTTTAGGGCTCCTAAGATGAAATAATCTCTAAGTCCCTTGTCAATTCTGAAATTCTTTGAATCTGTGTTTCCATTTTTCCATCTTCACCGTGCATTTTGCATCTGTCCCTCTTCAGGGTACACAGCACTCCCCTCCACTGAGTGGTAAACATATGATTGAGGTGTGAGGAACATCTGAATGATGCACCAAGATGACAGTTGGAGAGAGCTGGTCATGCTGAACTCCTCCCACATGAACTCAGGCCTAACTGCCATACAGTCACTCTGCTAGTGGTCCTGCATTTGTGTTGCAACAATGGGGTTGTGGAAAGCTCTTAGCACATTTGCTGGCACTTTCTTATCTCTCAATAAATGGCAACTGCACCTACTAGTCTTTTTTATTTGTGGACAGAAGAATATGAAGCTGAAATATAGCAGCATGTATGTGTATATCTGGAAAACAGCAGAGGTGGTTGGGTAAAAAAATGGACCCTGCTATACCCCATTCATTTCTGCAACCAGAATCGGCCATGATGTCACTACATACCAACTTCACACAGAGGAAGAGGAAAGAAGGGGAGAGCAAGGCTGGAGGAAGAGATACCCTTGCAGAATGTTCAGGGCTGGAAGGAGACCAAGGCCACACAGCTCCTTCCCAGTGGAGCTAGGGTTAGAACATCAGTCTCTTGGTGCCCTGAGTTGAGTGTTGAATAGGAACCATGCTTCCTGTTATGCTTGTTTTCTTCTTCTCAGTTAATCACAAAGCCAAGTCAATACCCCACCCTGCCCGTGCTTAAAGTGTTAGCACAGAGGGTGGGGTCCCATGTCACTGTGTGGGTCTCCTCTACTCGCAATCCTGAGAGTTACTGTCCAACTCAGGCAGGGATCAACTTCATGCAATGAGTCAATCTCATGCAGAGATGAGGATCTCACCACCTACTTATGGAGCCTATTCCTGTCTTATCTCTAATTATTAAATAATCCTTGAACTGAGCACAAGCCTATGTGCTGCCTCCCATGCCACACATACTCCCAGATATTCGACCTTGGTCTATTGATTCTAGGCCTGACCTTTTCAGTGCCTCAAAGGAAAAATACTGAAGGACAGAGAGGAAGAGATGAAAGGAAGGCAAGAAGAAAAGAGAGATAAAGAAGATAGGACAAAGGAGAAAAGAAGGTATAGAGGAGAGGTAAAGCGACGGAGACATGGAGACACAAACAGTTAGAGAAAGAGAGAGAGAGGTGCTGAGTGTGTGTTGTTTGGAGAAGGCAGCAAGAACACATGCTCAGAAGTGTTAATGTAACTAAAAGTAGATTCCAGCCCTCCCAAAAAATAACTCAATGACCCCTCACCTCACCCACCCTCTCCCCAAGCCCACGGCTGCCTCAAGAAGCCAGTGACTCACTGTTACCCTGAGTCACCAATTCCCACTCCGGGGTTGAGCAGGTGGTAGGTGCCTTTGTGGAGGTCTCCTGGCCCACAGAGAAGGACACAAGCCTAATGCCTCTGTAGCAACCTTTGGATTAGGCTTTTCCTGGGAATACTAAATATGAACTTCTAGAAGTTTCTGGAATCTTCTAGAAAATGAAATGGGGAACCAAGAGGCCAAAAGAGATTTAAAAAAAACAACAACTGGCTCTATAAGGTCGGTTTTCATTTCTCTGCGTCTTATCGTCTCCTTCTTTCTTGGCTCTTTTCTTCTGTTGTTCTCCTAAGGGCTGCTTTTCTCTGAAAAGCCCCCTGACTTTTCACCTCCGGTTGGGCACATTCGGTTTCATACTCATTTTCTTTTTCTGTTTTTCTCATTTCAGCTTCAAAGAAGCCTCTTCCTCCTACTCCTGAAGACAACAGGGTGAGTGAGGATTCAAGCTTTGGGCATGATGGGTGCCCAGTGCTGCAACTGCCTGAATGCCATGTCCCCTTTGCATTTCCCCCCACCCCCAGATTTCTCATATCCTGGGTAAATACAGCAGGTTGTAGTAATTCAGCTGAAATGAACACCCTGGGTTTCTTGGACCTGTCTCATGGGTCAGTTTATGCAAAAGGACCACTCAGTTACTAAATCCTGAGTTCACTTTATTCACTCAACAAAATTTATTGTACCAAACTGTGCATCCCCCCCACCTGATCACTTTGGGGTACAATAACAGCTATCTATGAAAAATGATGTGTTTACTCCATACCTTAATTTTGATAATACTTTATATTTTTCTAAGTACTTCCATACTTTTACTATTTCAAAGATATATATCTATATCTTTATGTGTGTGTGTGCGTGTACTTATATATACAGAGAAGGCCTCCTTCCCTCACTCTCCATTCTAGCCACTTCAGAGGGTTATAGTTTTATTCTCATTTTAAACCTTGGGACATCAAGTCCCAAGGGAGGTTTTGAGGCTTTTCCAAGGCCATTCAGCAACTTAGTAGGTAAGTTACTAGGCAGCAGAGCTTCTGAGATGGTGGGCTTTAACTCACATGGTGGTTCTCAAAGTGTGGTTCCTGGACCAGCAGAATCAGCCTCACCTGGGAGCTTATTAGAAATGCACTGTAGATTCTCAGGCCCCACCCCACACCTACTATATTTATAACTCTGGGAGAGGGGCCCAGCCACCTGCAATTTAATAAACCTCCGGGTGATTCTGTGGCACACTGAAGTGGGAGAAACACTCCTCTAATCTACTGATTTACAAGACTTAGGTGATACCAAGCCCACTCTAGGGAAGCCAGCTCTGGTTTGCAGATGGTTTCGCCCATAGTCCCACCTATAGGGTGGAGGTAGGATCTAGGCTCAGAGTACTATTGTCCATTATTATTATAAGCAGGTTTCTTACCACAGGAATGTCTAACGGGACATTCAAAAGTTTTACAGTATATGGGATACTGCAGAGATTTTTGCATTCTTGGCGCTCTGCCACTAAATGTTAGCAGCACTCCTAAACCTTTGTGACATTCAAATCGCCCCCAAAGCTGTCCAAGATGCCTCCTATAGAAACGTACCACTATGGTTTTTGAACCCTGCTCTGACCTTTCTTTTCATGGCGATTGATCAATCAGTTGGTCCTATAATGGGATGAATACCATGTCATATCCCTCCTTTATCTTCAGGTGCCCTTCAATTTAACTCCTTCCTCCATTAGCTCTTCAGGTGAAAGCCTCAGTCCCAATTATTCTTATCTTCAGTACTCCAATACACCACCTCGTGAGCTCCACAGATATTGAGACTTTGAATCCTAATCTGGGCTCAGCTGGGGTGACATACCACATCACCATGACAAGCTTTTCTTTCTAAATCTCCAGGATTTTTATACCATCAAAGGTTTCAATGTGAAAATAGAAACTTTGGCTTCCCAACACCAAATCTCATCCTAGCCAGTAACCTCAATTTCTTCCATATTTACTGTCTCCCAAGACCTGCCAACCTGTAGCAAATGTGCCCATCCTGAACTCTCACAACTGTTTGCTTTATAGTCTCTTCTTCACATCTTCACTATGTCGTCTTTAAAAATGTACTGAGAAGTAGAGACTTAGGCAAGAGAGCCCCTAAATGGAAGAAGGGAGCCCATGTGCTATAGTAGAGAGAGCCTTAAGACTAATTCATGTGGTAAGCTTGGCCATATCCATTTCTTCATTTGGGCTTCAGTTTCTGCGTTCTTAACAAAAGAATGGATTGAGTGATCTCTCAGAGGCATTTCAGCTCTGATAGTCTATGATCCTCCGGATCTGGACAAACCCACAAATCAAATCAGAAAGGCATGGACTGAATAACCTAGTGTTCACTGCATCACTTTCACCAAGAATATGATGCTTCCGGCAAAGAGTCTGCAACATGCAACCAGCAGACTTGTGTGAAAAGCATGTGACTGCTTGGAATTCACTGTGGTCAGAATTCACCACACAGAATGAGAGGGCAATGAATTCCAGGTACTGAGTGTCTTTGTGTCACATTCAGCACCATAACCCTAACTCATAAAAGAAAGCCAACTAGAGAAGGCAGGTGGTTTCAGCAAATACCCAGTGGATTATAGGAATTCATGTGTTGACCTGGCCTTGATCCAGGAGCAAGTTACCATTTCAAGACTTACTGACCTGGTTCCACAATTGACCTCCTTTCTATGTCATCACTCAATTTTGTTTTCTCCTACCTTCAGCGATCACTCCAGGAACCTGAAGAAACCCTTGTCATTGCCTTGTATGACTATCAAACGAACGACCCACAGGAACTTACGTTACAACGCAATGAGGAATACTACCTGCTGGACAGTTCCGAGATTCACTGGTGGAGAGTGCAGGACAGGAATGGGTAAGGCATCTTTGTGGTTGTTGTCCCAGTGCTTGGGGTGAGGTGGGGATACAGAAAACACTGGGACAATTTGTCCTCCTTCTGTCAGCAGGCCCGCTGCACTGAGTTAGGAGAGGAAAGCAGAGGTAGAAGAAAGAGGAAGGAAGAAGTGGTTGAGAGACGTTTTTCTACTTCTCAGAAGTGCCAGAGACAGTCACTTGCTATGCTCCCTTATTAAGCACCCCCAGCCCCCAAGCCCATCTAAAAATTCCCCAGGTTTTTCACTGACATCCACAGAGTAGGAGATTGGCAGCTTGTGCCACATGGAAGCACTATTGTTCTTGAGTGTTCAGATGAGACTGAAGGTACATCCCATTGTGAAGTGTCTATTTTCGGTGAAAAGAAAAGGCGTGTAGAGATGGTACAGATTGGTGGTTATATTAAAAGGCATCAGGAAGAAGATACTAAAGAGTTAGCTACACTAACTGTCTCAACTAGCCATCTAAATGATCCACGGAGAAAGTTAAGTTGTGCAAAGACCAAATGCCCACTATGAGACTTTTGAAGGGAAAAAAAAACCTTATGAGCCCTTCTCTGATCTGAAATACAACAAAATTGCTGTTTTAACCTTCAGAATGCTCTGAGACGTACATGACTTAGATACTAGTGCTTAGTTTTAAGGCATCAGATCCATGCTGCTTTATGAAGGCTTTAGGTTTTCCTTTTAATATGTCAGAGATATTTACCCAAGCCCTGGAATATTCTCCAGAATATGATTTCAATGATTGTACAAATCCAATACAAAAGTGTACCATAATTTAGCAAATTCCCTTGTTAAGTACTCAGATTGTTTCCAATATTTTGCAAATATGAACTACCCTGCAATGAACATCCTTGCATATTAATATCAGGGGTTTATATATTTTTAAAGTATGAGGTTATTACTGACAAAAAATATAGAAAAAGAAAAAGAAAACACTCCATCACTGCAACATTTGGATGGCCTAGATTGATGTTTTATTTTTTTTAATAAAATAGAGAGAAATATAGATGAAAACTAAGCCACCCCTCCATTTGTCCCCATGTCAATTCCAAAAGTAACACTATCAACAGTTTCTTGTATATCCCAGACAAAAAAGTTATACATACACAGATGCATCCTTTTTTCATTTGCACTAAGGTGATTGATTCTGCTCTTCACCTTGCTTTTAACCTTCAGTAATGTATCTTGGAGATCGGTTCATTTCAGCAGATAGAAATCTACCTTATTTTTAAAATAACCGCATGGTTTTGGAAAGTATGCTTATATGGTAAGTACTTGAATAATCTGAAATGGTGGGACATCTAGTTTCCGGGTATTTGTTTTCTTTGTTATATTTTTTTAAGTTTATTTATTTTTGAGAGAGAGAGAGAGAGAAACAAAAAAAGAGAGAGGGAGAGAGAGAGAATCAGAAGCAGGCTCCATGCTGATAGCACGGAGCCTGATGTGGGACTCGATCCCACCACTGTGAGATCACGACCTGAGCCAAAACCAAGAGTTGGATGTTCAACCGACTGAGCCACCCAGGTGCCCATCTTTGTTTGTTATCTTAAACAAGTCCTCAGTGAAGAACTCGTATTTCTCATACTCATGTTTCTGGGCAATATTTTGAAAAAAAAATGCAAATATATGTATTTTTTGAAAATATATTTTTCTTTTGAAAATATATGTATTTCATATTTCTAATTATGGAACTGTTGAGTCAGAGTAGGTCTCAATTTTGATAGATAATTCCCTCAGAAAGGTTGCCAAACTTACATTGCCACTACCCACCAATAGGGTGTGGGAGTGTCAACACTGGGTATCACTAACCTTAAAAAAGAAAAAAAAGCTAATCTGATGAGTTCAAAAAGAGGCACACAAATATCTTTAGGGTTAAGGCTTTACTGTTTAATGCACCAAAACTTTCTTTGTCAAAGCGCCTTCTCTTTAAGTATCCTCTTTGATGCCACTGCAGGGGGAGTGAGGAAGGGGTGTCAAATATAGTTAGCTCAAGAACTGCGATGTGCCCTGGGAGACAGTGTTGCTTGCTAGCTGGGAAGAGACCCCAAAGCACTTCATGTGGAACCTCCCTCTCTAGCTGACTTGTGTAGGCCAGTGAGGCCTGGCCACAACACCTTCTCTTTGCCTATTATAAGGAGGCTCATATCAGAAACAGGTTTAAGACAGTCCGTTTCTACAGAGACTAGAGGAATTTACTCAGAAATTCACTCCCTCAATCAACTGGCATTTATTTAGCACACCTGATGTGCCAGGAAATTTCTTCTCCTAGGTTGCATTTCCCCAAATGACAGCTTACCCTTTGCTCAGTGGCCTTTGGAAATGCTCAGCTCTGCACTTCAAAGGCCATCAAAGAGGACACCTTAGAGTCTAACTGGTGTTTTGGGAATTTCCCCAGTGTACTTTGTAATAGTGCAGTATAGTGGAAAGTACACAAGATCGGGAGACAGAAGACTTGGACTTCAGCATCAGCTGGTCTTGCTGTATGTCTTTGGAAAAGGCGCTTAACCTCTGTGGATCCATTTCCTTCTGTGTAAAATGCAGACGATAATGTCAGCTCTATCTCACATTGTTGAGGAAATCAATGAGATGATAAACGCAAAAGGTGCTTTGCAAATTCTACATCCACATCCAAGTGAAGAGAATTACCATTTGGGATACTATTAGCACATAATATTATGTGGCTTGCATATTAGAACACAGTTATTCTATTTCAAAGCAAAAATGGTATTTGAACTATTCATATAATTGTAAACATATGGTGTGGCAAAACCAGACATAATTAAGAGGGATTTGAAAAGATAGATAGAAGAGAAATAGCAAATTTTAGAATGACTTGACCCCCATCAATTGGCCCAGACTGCCTTGAGCACCACATTAAGGATGATTCTGAAGCTGGATGTTCAATTCTCCGAAGGAAGCATGCCACGATTGACTAGCAGTGTCAGCCATGGGCACAAGATATGAGATAATCATCCCATATTTGACATCCCTGTTCTTGATATCTTCACTCCCCAAAACGATTCTGTGAAATAGATTACACATTCACCAGTAAACATAATCACTAAATTGAAAAATGCCTTTGTTATACAAAAATTAAAATATGAAGTAAAGAGCAAGAAACTCTTAGGCAACTTTTTATAGACTGTCAGACTCTAGAGGAATTTTATGTGCAATCTAGGTCCTTCATTGTACACTTAGGGAGCCAGAGGCCCAGAGAGTGGAAGAAACATTGTTTTCACCTTGTAGCTTTAAATGCAATAATATATGTGAAATTATTTTGAAAAATACGAAGTTATGCACAAATGTAAAGTATTTTGAGGTGCCGATTGGTCTCTTTATCCACCATGTCTTTGTTTATGCACAAATATGTATTCCTGCTCAAAAGAAAGTCCCACCTCCAAATCCAGCATGACTTTATTCTTTTTTCTCGTGTTTTACCATTTGTGTCTGAAGGAGTTGAGTTAACAAAAAGAAACATTAGGGAGTCCTTGAATTAAAAGCTTATGATGCTGAGTGGCAGTATCTTTTGGGACCTGTGGTTGGAAAATGATTTTTTATATTTTAATTATTTTGGTTTCCTGACTATATAAAATTGAAGCACTAAAGTGGAAAAAATACTGACTATCACACCCCCCCCCCCAAAAAAAATGTTTCCTTAGAGAAAATAGAGACCTTTTTCCATCAGAGGAAATTTCACAATGAGGAGAGCAACAAACATCTTTTTAAGTAAAATAGCCACTTTTTATTTACTATTGTTCAGGGGAGCCTGTGTGGCTCAGTCCATGAAGCATCTGACTTTGGCTTAGGTCATGATTTTGAGGTTTGTGAGTTCGAGTCCCACATCAGTCTCTGTGCTGGCAGCTCAGAGCCTGGAGCTTGCTTCGTATTCTGTGTCTCCCTCTCTCTCTGCCTCTCTCCTGCTCATGCTCTCTCTCTCTCCTTCAAAAATAAACATAAAAAATTTTTATTTATTATGATTCATATATTAATGGTGAAATTTATTGCCTTTGACAGATAGCAAATTGTTGGTTTTTTTAGCCATTCTTTTATTCTACAACTTTAAATTGTCTTATGAATGCCAAATAATGCAAGAATCCCCTACCTTAAAAGACTTTTAGTGGATTGAATAACCTATAAAATGGAGAAGTGAAAATTAGTCCTATAATGGTCTAAACACTAATTTCCCTCTTAACAGGCATGAAGGATATGTACCAAGCAGTTATCTGGTGGAAAAGTCTCCAAATAGCCTGGAAACCTATGAGTAAGATATTTTATTTGTTTTCTAAAAACATGGTACTAAAGTCCTCCTTAAATTAGGAGTAAATTACTAGTTGATTGTAAAAGTACCAGGATTTTTTTCCTTCTTGTACTTTGATCCCTAAATACACAGTAGAGGAACACTCTAAATAGGAGAAGGGGAAAATATATGCACTCACCTCCCCTTTTATCAAAGAGATGATTCTAAGATACCTATGAAGATTGTGGTGAAAGGAAAAGATTCTTCCAGGAATCTTGGTCTTACTTAAGGAGAAAAATACTATGAAGACTGGATCAAATACAAACTTACTTAAAACATGCTCTAAGACAATACTTCCAATACCAAAATAACAGACAAATGGGTATTAAATATCTGCTTAGCTTGTATTGTTTATTTCAAGCCGTTGTTTATAGAAGGGTTCACATGGATATAATTTTAACAGAACTACTTGACATTTAATAAAACCCAATTGTAGTGGATACCACGTATGTATATTCCCTTGCTCAGCTGCTGAAAGGCCCAGAAGCAACAGCACCACAGCAACATTGTGTTCACAGATCTTCCTTTCTAAATAACACTGCCCACTAAAATGGAGTTCTTGGAAAAATGGCTGGGGATTCAGAGTTGATGCAGGGAAAGAACAGGATGAACTTGGAACACCTTGCACCAAAAAGTAAAGAATTATTGCCCCCCCCCAAATATTTTAATCGTGTGGATGTGTCAAGTGGGCACAGAAGTCAGCTTAAAATTGTTCCTTCTGCACAAATCTGAGACAATTTGAGTATCAAAATAAATAATGACAGTAATAGATTATAATCCATCGATAAAATAAGAATCAATAACAGATAGCTTGATAGGTAAATAAATAAACAAATAAATAAATAGAATGCCAGCTAATGAATGTTCAAGGTAAGATCACGTTTAAAAATCACCATTTGTAACTCAAAGTATCAATAATTCAGGCAAGAATCATCAATGAATATCACAACTAGGGAGGCGAAAGTTTGATATTTACATAGTTTCAAAGTATGTTCTCACAAATCACTCATCAGCAATAAAGTGGGAATAGCTGGTAGGCCCTCATTTTAACCAAGTGATCAAAGTTCACATCAACAACAGGGCAAACAGACATCCCGGGTCTCCTGATGTGATGCACTGAGAAGGACACAACATCACTTCTGTGACATTCCCACCCAAACATGCCTAATTTGAATTTCATCACGAAGAAATAAGAGACAATTCCAAATTGCAAGATATTCTACAAAATAACTGGCCTGTGCTCTTAAAAAATGTTAATATCATAAAAGACACAAAAGGCTGAGAAATTGGTTCATATTGAAGGAGCCTAAGGAGATGAGTGCTGACTAATGCACTAGTAATCCTGGATTGGATCTTGAGTAATTAAAAAAAGAAATGATAGAGACAAAATGTATCATTGGAACATCCAGTGAGATTTGAATAGAGTCTGAAATGAGGTAACAGTAGTGTGCCAATGTTAAATTTCCTGATTTAGGCAATTGTACTATTCATATACGTATATATTCCATATCTTAGAAATAAATACATACTGAAGTCTTTGTAAAGTTTATTCTCAAGTGGCTCAGAAAAAATATATATCTATTCAGAGGGAATGGTAAAGCAAATATGGAAAATGTCAATATTAGTTCATCTGGGTCAAGTGTATAGGGAGTTCTTTTATAGTATTTTTATAGCTTTTCTATACATTTGAAATCATGTAAAAATAAAAAAAAAATGTTGAAGTCCTCACTAAATGTATGATACCAGGGTTGAAGAACATTAGCTAATGAAGATTTCTATTAACACATTTGGGCTCTTATTAGTTCATATGTGGTCAAGTTATGTGTTGCTGAAATTCTAATAGACTCTGCAATGAAGAGTGGTCATTTTATGAAGAGTCTCTCAACCTGAGACTGGTTTTGATCAAGTATGTGTTAGTAGCCCCTCTCTCAGCCAACAGAAGAGTCATCAGTTCCAAGAACACTTGAGCTGCAATGAAGCATATATGAAATATGCCTAAATAAAATTCTTTCAATTTTTTTATAGTCAATGCCTTTAGGGCAAAATAGGTATTCATTTCAAATGATCACTGGGCTGGAAAGTTTTGTTTGTTTTTTGCTTTTAATCAGAATCTCATCCTTTATGATAGAGGGGGCAAACTCAAAATTCCAACAGAGTATAAAGCAATAGGGAATGGTGGAACCCAGGGGAAATAAAAAGGTGTATTCCTCCTCCTGAAGGTATTTTAAGTCATTAAAAAAAAAAAAAACCCTATACTATACAAACAAAACAGTCTGTGAGCCCTATTTATTCTATATACTATCAGTTTCATTTTCAGATTATGGAATTGCAGCTAGGGAATAAAAGGACTCCCAAACATCCAGTCATTTAGAAGTATATATCTGTGTATATTTAAAATACCCAGTATGAGGGTGTTGTATGGAAACCAATTTGACAATAAATTTCATATTAGAAAATAAATAAATAAATAAATAAATAAATAAATAAATAAATAAATAAATAAATATTCTGTCTTCCTGAACAAAAAAGTTCAAGTGATCTCAAAAAAAAAATAAAAATAAATAAAAATATAATACCCAGTATGATAATGTTTTATCCTTGCACTTAATATTGTCTACTTTCAGGGGATATCTGTGTAAGAACTCAAAAATGTACCATCTGGGAACATAATCATGGGCTATGAAATCCATTGATTGGCTTCAGGTTTCCTGCCCTGACTTGAGGGCATGACCTTGGGCAAGTTTCCTCACCAGGCTGGATCTCAGATCCCTTTTCCTTAAAATGAAGGGTCAGACAGATGAAGGAGGCACTCTTGCTGCCCTTCCCTCCTGGTGCCTGAACTCAGGGTTGACATCCCTTTTAGATAGTGACACACTTACCTACTGAGCTCAGGTGCACATCTTTAGGCAGCTGTGATGAACTGATCAGAGCTTGCACATAAGATGAAGCCTATTTGCCATCCCTCAACTAGTTAAGTTACAAGAGCTGATGTATAAAATCAGCTGATGTATAAAATACCATTCTGTTGTATGATATTCAAAAGCTCAGGTAGGGGAGCCTGGGTGTCTCAGTGGGTTAAGCATCCCACTCTTCATTTCGGCTCAGGTCATGATCTCACAGTCATGAGATAGAACCTTGTGTCAAGCCCCACATCAAGCCCCACATCCATGCTGGGCATGGACCCTGCTCAAGATTCTCTCTCTCCCTCTTCCTCTGCCCCTCCCCCGTTTGCTCACATGCACATGTGCACACATGTGCTCTCTCTCACTTACTGTATTTAAAAAAAAAGGCTCAGATGGGTCCACTAATTCCCATATTCTGACTACTTTTTATGTTTTAATTTTTTTTTAATATTTATTTATTTTGAGAGAGAGAGAGAGCAGAGGAGGAGGGGAGAGAGAGGGAGAGAGAAAATCCCAACCAGGCTCCATGCTATCAGCTCAGAGTCCAATGTAGGGTTAGATCTCACAAATGGTGAGATCATGACCTGAGCTGAAATCACCAACTGAGCCACTCAGGTGCCCCTGTGGCTACTTTCTAGTAGACAACAAGTTTGGTGAGTGGTGTTCCTTCCCATCTAAAAGTTCTCCCCTCTGAAATTTATACTATTCAAAATTGATTGTTAACTGATGACCATTCTATTTCCTCTTATCTCATAAATGGTCAGAGAGGCCAGGATGTGGCTCAAGTATTAACAGCAAAATTCAAAAACTTCATCCCTAAAAATCGTTCATATTCTTTTTACCACTTTTAAGTTTTTTTCACCAGACTCCAAAATTATAAAAGTAATTACTTTGCAGAAGATTTTGAAAATAGGTCTAAAAGAGGAAAATATTACAATTATTTTACAAGGCTAAACTTTCAAATTTGTACTCAATTGTTATAGTTGTCCTAGCATCATCCTACTTATAACCATCCACTAACTTATGAAATAGAGAAGATAAAGTTTTTATAAAACTTTCTTATGGAAAATTTCCAACATGCGTAAAAATAGAATAAAATAATGGACCTCCATTATACCCAAAACCCAGCTTCAAAAATTATCTCTATTTTACCAATTCTAATTCATTTGTTCCCTTCCAGTTAAACATTTTATTACCCGGATATGGTGCATACCTTTGTTTTTAAGTTTGAATGCAGTGGTACAAATAGAAAATGACCAAATCATTTTCTAGAATTAATTACCTTTTACAAGTAAATAATTTTTAAACATTTAAGTGTCATTGACATATGACTTTCTCCTGCTTTCAGGTGGTACAATAAGAGTATCAGCCGAGACAAAGCTGAAAAACTTCTTTTGGACACAGTAAGTCTCCTTGACCTGCCTTTGACTTAAAATAAAATGAATTGTGCTTTTTTTTCAGCCATACTATGGTTTATGCCAATGTAGTAAGTTGATATATTAGATTAACAGTGATTTTCATGTTCAGTGAAAATATTCTGGGGATTTATAGAAACTAGCATACAACAGGATAAGAAACCCATGGAGGGTCTCATGTCTTGGTATTGACATGCAACTGTCATGACAAATATAGTGGCCTTTCTGTCTGTGATGGGGAGCCATGGGGCTAGTTTTCCTTGCCTGCTTCTCTGGCTAGGTCAGGGGTGGCAGTGACTTACATGCTACTTGGTTGGGCTGTAGCCCAGGAGAAATACATCACTTGTTTTAATTTATTTTTATGCATCAGTTCTTAAGAGCCATGCAGTGTGGATAGCAGGACTGATCTTGCCCAAGGATGTCAGAATCAAGGGAGCAAGAGATGAGAAGAGAGAAAGCATGGTGTGGTGGGAAAAGTAAATGTCCTAATCGCTGTTCTGTCACCAACACAGTCTGTGGCTTTGGGGATGTTTCTTCCTCCTGGGTCTTAGTTTCTCAATGAGTACAAGACAAGAAGAGTTGGACTAAATCAGCAATGAGTTAGCCAGGATTCATACTGTCACCCTTTGCTCCTGATCTTATGTGACACTGTTGATCGCAGTCCATGGCTTTGAGATCCTTGTCAACACAGTGCTCTAGGCAGCTGCCATCAGTTGATTGGCACTCAAGGTGAACCCTCTCTTCCTGGACCAGGAGGCCATTTGTTACTCTGTGCCAGTGCCTCTCAAATACCTGTGTTGATGGATCACTTTTTGCGGTTGTTTTTCAATTTCCAATTTGTCACAGGCTTATATTGTGTAAAATAAATAAAAATGAACTACTAGAAAAAAAATAAAGAAGCAAGGACACAAAACCTGCAAGTTTAATTTTTTATTAGTCTTTGATTTATTAGACACAAAATTAGTCTGAGTGCTGTAAAAAATGTCTAACCGCTTTCTCTCAATTTCCCTTTCTGTCTGGTGGTGGGCCCGCAAAAATCTGCCAACTGGCACCCAACTGCAGACCACACTTTGAGTAGCACTTAAAACTGCACATTTATAGCTCTTTCAGAGAAACCAAATGTATGGAAGTATTGAGAAAAAAGTCTTCCACAGAGCAATCAATTACTTTACCAGCATATATGCCTAAAGCAGTGGTTCTCGGGCCTGTCTGCACATTAGAATCACATGGGAAACATTTTTTTAAAATACCAATGCCCAAGCCCCACACCAGATGGATTAAATCAGAATATCTAGTTGGTAGGATCTAAGCATTAATAATTCAGAGAAAAATCTCTCCAGACGAGTCTAATATTCAGACATTAATGACCCGTGCCCAACACTAGTCTTACCGATGAGACCAGCAAACTGTAGGTATGTATTGTTGGAAACATTAGTCTCCCTGTGCCAAAATGTCAACCTTGTCCCTGCCATTGCACCATATCTTCTAGTTTGTGTTTAAAGGTTTTCCTGTCTGTAAGAAATTTAAATTAAACTGCAAATCTCTCCTGCACGGGATGAAGGTGGGGTGACCAACTCATCCTGGTTGGTCCTGGGACTGTCCCAGTTTTAAAACTGAGAGTCCTGTGTCCAGAAATCCCAGCCTCCCCTCAGTCCTGGACAAACTGGGACAGCTGGCTACCCAAACTGGTAGCCACTATTTGCCCAGTTAGTGATGAGATTTAGAGAAGGAGACCTGGGAAGGTGCCAGGAAGGGAATGAAAGTCTGTGATGGGAAGGTGGAGGGTTAATAAATATTGTTAAAGATTAATTTAAAGGCATGCAGTTTATTATTGGCATGCAATTTACTTTTGTAGAAGGGGAAACTGGTGACAGATTGATTCATTCCATCAAAGGCAAAAATAGAATTTCTGTAAGAGGAAAAGGGGAGGGGAGAAGGAAAAACCCATCGTCATACTGGGGAGCAATGAACTTCATCTTCTTCGGGTAAGTTGCCGATTAGCAAGCTGCTAGCAAAGAGGACAAGGTGAGATGTTCTGCCCTTGGGCAGCTTGCTCTCATCAAAGAGAGCAAGTTCAGTTGTTTACTGATTTCTCAAAAGACTCTGTGTGCTTACCAGTGAGGGACACAACAGACAGCCTGCACTATGTCATCTGTCTCCGTTAGCAGCCCTCTCAGCTTCGGCGTGTGTGCACCATTTCCTTTATTAGGATATCTGGCTATAAACTCAAGTACCTTACCATTTTGCTGAGCACAGGACTAAGCACTTAAGGGTGTTTGAGATAGGATCTTTGACCTCGACAAACTTTAGGCTGTACTGAAAAAGAAGGCAAACTGAAAAGTCAGAGGACAATCCAAGATAAACTATGAGCCCGAGGCAGGCTGGCAGTGGCCTCAGAGTTCAGAGACGACTCTGAAGAGTCAGATCTCATGGGGGGAAAGAGGAATCGATCTGAGTCATTACTGGACCCTGCTTTCTCCTTGGTTCCACATCAACTCTGCACTTCATGATTTCCTGTGGTCCCCAGTAGACCACGCATTAGAACCACTGGGAAACTTAAAAATCCAGAATCCCAGGCCCCCACCCAGACCTACAGAATCAGAATCTCCAGAGTCAGTTCCTGGGAATCTGTATTGTTTTCTAGCCAAACTTATGATGCGTATGCAGCAGGCTCAGCTCCTACTTCAGCCAAGCTATGTTACTGGATAACATAGCAAAACCTGACCGATAAGAACTAATTGAAAGGATTGCAAAATTAATTAAAAACCTGAATTATATGGAGTTTAAACAAGTGCAGTTTTGTTATTTTCAATCACACGTTGGTTAATGAAGTGTTACCCATGGAGCCCTTGAAACAGCCCACATTTAATGACAAGCTGAAGAGGTTTCCTGTTCAACAGCAGTTCCTTGGAGACACTTAAATACATTTTGCTTTCTGGGGCAGTTGAAACATTCCTCCGTGCTAATATTCTGAACTACTTTACCAAATCCTCTTTGCCTTCTTAGGTAATATAAGGGCAAACATCAGCGGGTCCCTGTATTGTCGGCTGCTTGAAACAATAGCAGAATTGTTTCGTGGGTGTGTTTAGTATCTCTGTTATCTAACAAGTGTAGGACCCTTAAGAGATGGATTGATAGATTTTTATCAACTAGAGCTCCTAATGTACTGCCCCATCCACAGTTCTCCACTAGAATAGAAAGGCTTTATCTTGTTCCCGCTGCACCTAGAAACCCAAACTGTATTTATGACAAAGTAGTTACTCAACAAATATGTGTTGAATGAATAAATACATTAAATGCTTAAAAAATGTTTTTAAAATAACAACTATGCTTAAAGAGAAACTGGCTGATCAAGAGCATCACTGGGGGTTCTTTATAGAAATACAGATTCCAAACTCTAGGCCTCACCAACCAGAACCTCCGGAGGTGGCACCCAGGTGATTCTGGAAGTTACCCAAGTTTAGGAACTACAGAAAAGCATTTCCTACACCGTCGTATCCATTCATCAGATAACACCTCCTCTAAGAAGCTTCTCATGCTTTCCATCTCCCTGGCCATGGAACGTGGTTGTCTGTCCTTTGAACCTTTCTGGTGCAATGTCATTACTTCTCCAGTGGCACTGTTCTCACTCTCTCTTGGGCCTCAGCAGTTTATCTTCTGTCTTAACCCATTTAGTTAGAGAGTAAATTCCTCGCAAGCAGGGATTTCATGGCTTACAGCATCACGCACGTGTGTTGGAGGAATTAATACCTCCAACAGACAGAATACCATAGCATATGACAACAATGGCTAATGATAGCCCTAACATTCATTGTTCTGGTATATTCCAGGAACGGCTCTATACACTTTAATTCTCCCAACAACCTTACAAAGGGAATCTTACAGATGAGGAAAGCGAAGCTCATACATTTAAACAGGAAACAGCTGGAATTCACAGAATTATAGACTGGTAGAGTAAGAATTCCCTTTGAAGAACATCTGTGTTACAAAAGAGTAAACTGAGGCCACGTTCAGAGTGTGAATCAGTGGCATAGTTCTGGACTAGAGGAGGGGGGAGTCTTCACACATATACATGCACACACACACAGTTAACAAGAGAATATATGAGCTAAGTTCTATTCTCCCATCCCATAATTCCCATCCATATATTTCACCATCTCCATGGCTTTTTCCCCTATTGTTGCCTCTTTGAAAATTAGTAAAAGGTAAACTGAAACCTTAAAAATGCCCCAAGGAACAAGGGCCCCTCTTCTGGCTAAACTGTACAAGTCAGTGCCCCCTTTGCATGATGGTGATATGAACAAAGACCCTTTACAGTGTTCTTAGTGGTTGTGACTTCCTCTGAGCCTTTTGCAGGAAGTAAGTGGTAAGGCACATGCTGGATGCCTCATTTTCCTCAGAACTCTAGACTGCCTCAGCCCCACATGAGAGTTTCCTGTCGCCCTCACTGAATGCCACCTAGAGCAAGTATGATGGGGGAAGAGCTCTGAACCTCCCCTGCTTAGCCGAGCTGCCTGCAAACATTACCTCCCCTTTTTCTCACGTCTGTGGATTACTCTTGTTCACAGCTGGGCCCCACTCTGATTACGGTTTTGTTTTGTTTTAAAAAAATAATGGCTTCTTTGGGAGAATGAGAACAACAACAAAACATTACTAATTAAATAGAAGAGATGTTCACGTTCCCCTCTTCACAAACATTTGATAAACGTCTGGGGTTTTTTTGGTCTGTTTCTTCCCCTTTTAGAATAAGATATGCAGATAAAATCTTCCTCTGCTGAAGTTTTGTTCCTTCCTGCCTTGAGTTTAACCCATCCCATTCTAATGAGGCAAGAGCAAAAGCTTCATTATTTGATAAAGGGGGAAATCTCTGAAGATAAGCTATGCTACATGTAACGCATGGATGAATATCACAAAAGTAGTTTGATCAAAAGAAGCCAGACACGGGTGCACCATTCACAGTAGCCGTAAGGTGGACACAGCCCAAATGTCCATCCATTGATGAACAGGTAAACAAAATGTGATACATCAGTACGATGGAATATTATTCAGCCATAAAAAGGAATGGAGGACTGATACATGCTACAACTTGCATAAATCTTAGAAAACAATATGCTACCTGTAAGGAGCCAGGCACAAAAGACCACATATTATATTATTTCATTTACATGAAAGGCCTAGAGCAGGCAAATCTATGGAAACAGAAAGCATATTAGTGTGGCCAGGGTGCAAATAGAAGTATATTTTGAGAGTAATGAAAATGTTCTAAAATTGGATTGTAGTGATGGTGACACAACTCTGTAAATTTACTAAATATCATTGGATTGTACACTTGAAACGGGAGAATGTCATGGTATGTAAATTGTGCCTCAAAAGCTATTTTTATTTATTTATTTGTTTATTTATTTATTTATAAAAGCTCTTTTATTTATTTTATCTTATTTTTTATTTGAGAGAGAGAGAGAGAGAGCAGGAGAGAGAGGCTGAGGGAAAGAGAGAGAATCTTAAGCAGGCTCCACACTGAGTTTTACTGCTGTTTAAAGATAGAGACTACTCATCAGGATATTACAAATAGGAGCTACATGTTCAGCTAAGTCAGTGGAGCCCAAACCTGCAAGTCGGTAAGAATTGCACAGCAGGTGCCTTTGGGTGGCTCAGTCATGTAAATGTCTGACTCTTGATTTTAGCTCAAGTCATGATCTCCTGGTTCATGGGATCGATCCCTGCATCAGGCTTGGTGCTGACAGTGTGGAGCCTTCTCTCACTCCCTCTCTCCGCCCTTCCCACCCTCCTTCAAAATAAATAAAACTTTTTTTTTTTTTTTTTTTTTTTTTTTAAGAATCACAAGGCAAGCTTCTAAAAAGTTCACGAACCAGGTTGCCAGTCCTGGTGATTCAAAGGTCATATGCATGCGGTGAAGCACGGTTCGGTGTTTGTTGTTTTGTTTTGTCTTGTTCTGTGCTTCAGATTCTTCAGGTGATTGTGATAATCAACAAAGTTTGGGACACAGGAGTATAGGGAGTGGGGCCAGATCAGTAGTTCTCAACCGGGGTGATTTTGTCCCCCAGGGACAACTTGGCAGTGTCTGACATCCAGTTGATAGAAGCCAGGGATGCTGCTAAACATCCTATAATGCTGAGATTCTAGGGTACAAACAGTTAGCATGGCCATCTGTGTGTATTGCTTTCACGGTGTGTAGACAATCCACTTTGGGGATGGAGAGGATTTGGGGATGGAGGGGCTTGCATCGTTCTAAATCGTACATACTGTGCTCCATATGCTATCAGTCTATGTGGCTCACACATGAGGCTCATGTGTTTCTCTGGCCTTCACTTGTGGCCCTCTCTATGTTGAAGTTAAGTAACTCATAGTAATAGCTTTTGCAAATATTACCAGCACGCATTTACAGCTGGGCAGAAACACAGCATTAGATGTGATGTACTCAAAACAGAGTTCAGATTGTAATGTTTCCACCAGGAACGAATAAATTGGCATATCCATTTGCTTGTGCTTGATTCATTAGCACCGGCAAAACTGTCAAGGGGGAGGGAAGAGCACAGTCTTGGGGCTTTTCCTTCTCTCCACTTCCCTCATGCAACCAGGAACTTCATGTTTTTTTCTCCTTTTGCCCTGCAGCAAAATCAGCACTCTAGAAAGGGCCTGATAAATACGTTCCCATGAAGAAACTGACAAAGCTTCCAGGTCAGAAAGCTTTGTGCCCTTGGAGGGGAATGGAGAAGTGGTTTCTAACATTTGTTGCGCAGAGGTATCCTGGAGCAGCAGAATGAGCATGGCCTTTGCTCACATGCCACGTGCAAGGTTCAAATCCCAGGTCCACCGCGTACTAGTTGCGGATGGTGGGAAAGTCACGGAAGCTCTGTGGCACTCAGTGTCCTCATCAGTAAATTGAGGATGTGACGTCTAGACTGCAGTGTTGTGGTGAGGGTTGGACAATATCTGTAATGAGGCTGGTACATGGTGAGCTCCAAAAGGGCAGCCTTGCATTTATCTGTCTTCATGCACTGCTTATGTCATCACCAGAAGTCTCTGATCCAGGGTAGGACCTTAAGAAATACCTGTTGCTTGAGCAGGTGAAATGCTAGCCATTATTGCTGAAATTCTGCTCTGTGCAAAGCTGGCCTATAGTATTTTCTCCTTTCACAGACAAGAAAGTAGAGCTGGACGCAGGAGCCAGGTTTCCTGGGATCACTAACCTTCTGTATTTTCTAACCATTCCAGGCCAAAGAAGGAGCCTTCATGGTACGAGATTCCAGGACTCCAGGAACTTACACCGTGTCTGTTTTCACTAAAGCCATTGTAAGGTACGGTGCTAACTCAGCTCAGCAAAGTGGGGAGAGATAGTCCTGAGGTGGGTGAGCAATAGGCCACACACAGCACCATCAGACAGGGCAAGAGCTAGAGGGGTGGCTCGAAACAGTGTGCTTTTGCTGATCCCTCTGAGAAAATCAAGGCCAGGGAGATTAAGGACATTGTTGAAGTCATTTTCCTGGAGAGTGACAGAGCTGGGTCCAGACGCCACTGTCTCTCCTAAATTAGCATCCCTGCGTGCAGAGCTCTAAAGAAATAAAATACTTGACTCTGCATTTGATGCGTTTATCATTTAACCCACAGCTAACAAAGAAGATACTTTCAGCCAGAAGCGAGAAGATACGTATTTAGTTCTGGCTCTGCTAACAAAGCTACCTACCATTTACTGAGTCCTTACCATGTGTCTGAACCCTACAGACTGTTTCTGATCCTAATCAGCTCTGAAGGCAGGTATTACTATGCTCCTTTCCATCGAAGAAACCGAGGGTCAGACAGCTGATGGTGCCTCTCTGAGACCATGGAGCTCAAGTGGCCATGTTCCAGCCGGCTGACTGCAAGACCCTCATGCTGTCTGTCCCGCTCCCTACCTCTGTTTCCTCCTCTGTAAAAAAATATCTAAGAGCCAATCCAGGTCTCAAATTCTATTGTAATTAAAAAATAAGTAACAACAAAGCAGTTTGGCAATAAGCAAAGTCCAGTAAGAATTAATATCTGCCATCCTTCTGAGAGGGTAAAAAACAAAGCTCATACGAAGCTGATACCAGTAGACATTTTTGTGTCTAAACATTGCTTCTTAATAATCACTGCATTTATGCTTCTTTTGTTTAAGTGAGAACAACCCCTGTATCAAGCATTATCACATCAAGGAAACTAATGATAACCCCAAGCGATATTATGTGGCTGAAAAGTATGTGTTTGATTCCATCCCTCTCCTCATCAATTACCACCAACACAATGGAGGAGGTAAGTTCTAAAGGACAAGGCCAGGGCAGGGGTGGTGGGGTGGGGGGGGCACTCACTGGGGAACTTGGGGAAAAAAATGACAAATTCCCAGCCGGGTTTCTTCATCGCAGGCAAACTGACCATAAATAATAACTAAATCTACAAATAGAAAAGAATGCCGAATATTTGATCATATTGCATGTTTTCCACTAGCAAATTCTGTGGTTAGACTCATGGGATTTCACCACCTGCCCATCTGTTTTTATGACTCTTGTTGGAGGGAGTGTGATATCAGTGATTGGGTGTTGGGATTTGTTTTCCAGAATAAAAATAGCTTTTGCACTGGGTTATTTTTTTTTTTTTCCTGGTGGTTTAATTTGAACAGTTGCTATAGTAAAGCTCTAACTGCCACCTTTCACTTTTTAATCAACCCAGGTCTGGTCACTCGACTCCGGTATCCAGTTTGTTCCTGGAGGCAGAAAGCCCCAGTCACAGCAGGACTGAGATATGGTGAGCAGTGCGTTCAGGACTGTCATATCACATCCCTAAAGGTCTGGGGCAAATTCTGAATGGGCTTTCCATGTACGTAATTCTTCCCCAGACTTAAAAATGACCATTTGGGGTGCCTGGGTGGCTCAGTCAGTTGAGCAGCCAACTTTGGATGAGATCAACTTAGGATGAGATCATGACCTGAGGCGAAGTCGGACGCTTAACCAACTGAGCCACTCAGGTGCCCCAACAATAAAACATTTTCAATCAGGTAGAAAAAAATAGTTGAGGTGTTGCAAGAACCCTTTCATTTACTTTCTTTGAGATCTTGATTAATGCCATTTTCCTTCCTCTTTCCATGTAATCTCTCCCCACAAACATTTTTCATGGTTTTAAATGCATATCCTATGTTATTATTAGCGGGGTGGAAATAACTTTAAGATCTAAGTTCTAAGTCTAAAGCTTATACTACTTGCCATCTTTAGGTTATATTATCAAGAAGATAACATTCTATCTAGGGCTATTAGTCTCCTTGTAGCCCTATACCTCATATCTACTCCTTGCCAACCCTGGAAAACTCTCTTTCTCTCTTCTAGGGAAATGGGTGATTGATCCCTCAGAGCTCACTTTTGTACAGGAAATTGGCAGTGGGCAGTTTGGGTTGGTGCATCTTGGCTACTGGCTCAACAAGGACAAGGTGGCCATCAAAACCATTCAAGAAGGGGCTATGTCGGAAGAGGACTTCATAGAGGAGGCTGAAGTCATGATGTGAGTGGCCAAAACAAGAGTACACAAAGATGTCTTCGGGATGATGTTCTGTGCTGTGTTCTTTAAATACCATCTTGCCGCCATGTTATGCCATTTTGCTGCTCAAATCTAGCAATGGTTTCCAATGGCATGGAGACTAAAATCAAACTCTTCACCATGGTCTATATAGCCTGTCATGGTCTTCCTCTGTCCACTGCCCAGTCTCATCTCCTACCCATCTCTCCTCTGGTCCATGATGTGCCAGCCACACTGACCACCCTTTGTCCTCACACACACCATTTGACTGCTCACCATCCTTCAGGTCATTTTTGTTTAGGGGACGGAGTGTGTTTGGGGGAGACTGACTTTAGACCATCTCACCCCTTGCCTTTTTCTTCCAGGAAACTCTCTCACCCCAAACTGGTGCAGCTGTATGGGGTATGCCTAGAGAAGGCCCCCATCTGCCTGGTGTTTGAGTTCATGGAGCACGGCTGCCTGTCGGATTACCTGCGCAACCAGCGAGGACTCTTTGCTGCAGAAACCCTGCTGGGCATGTGCCTGGACGTGTGTGAGGGCATGGCCTACCTGGAAGAGGCATGTGTCATCCACAGAGACCTGGTAAGAGGATGCGGGGCAAACAACTATAGGTTCAGGATGAAGGGGTGTGTCCCCCTGAAATGTACAGCTACCCAGACTGGGAATAAATTGATAAATAACAAGTCACAGACCATCTTCCTTCCCCTCTCAATTTCTACCCACTTGGGGATGCCCTAGTAGGACTCAGATCTGGGCTCTAATCCCAGCCCTGCTTCTAACTTGTACCCTCTGAGTCTGAGTTTACATTCTTCCAGAATGAAACATATAGCCTCTCCTTCATAACCTCTCTGTGCCTCAGTTTCCTCTTGGTAAAATTCTCAAACTATTATCCAAGGATCTACCACAATCACATTGGGGTGATGCTAAAACCATCCTCAGAATCTCTGGGGGTTGGAGCTCAGAAATATTCATTTTACCATATCCCCCTTGGGATTTGTAGGCACGTTTAAAATTTGAAAAAAAGAAAAAATAATAAAATAAAATTTGTAAAGAGAATGGAGTCTTTTATCACTAAGTGCACAATTCTGTGATACTAATTAGAGACTAGGTGCTCTCCTTATTGAGGAATAGTTTAAAGAGGATTAGCAACCTCAAAACATTCTTATTTTAGTCAAATGGGTGACAGTTTCTTCATTACCGTCCCTAATGTTAACATTTCCTATTGCATCAGATTGCATTAGAACACATAATAAAACCAATACATATCGTTGGTTAAACACCACCATGGGTTTCTCTTCTAATTAGAATCCCAGGAATAAAACTAAAAGACCAAACTTACTCATCCTGATAAGGGATCTTACACATTTAACTTTTTAGCTAACTCCTGTCAGGTGCTAGTGAAGCTTAATTAGCATCTGTAAAGCTCCTGAGTGCCCTTGTATACTGCTTATCCACCAACCGTTTTCCTTTCTCTTTTGTTTGCCTGTCTCCATTCCAGGCTGCCAGAAATTGTTTAGTGGGAGAAAACCAAGTCATCAAGGTGTCCGACTTTGGGATGACAAGGTAATATGGGGACGTGGTGCCAGCAAAGTCTCAGGTACGAGACCCAGGCCCCCAAAACATTCAGACATTCTTTCTCCACTCTCTACCCAGGTTCGTCCTTGATGATCAATACACCAGTTCCACAGGCACCAAGTTCCCAGTGAAGTGGGCATCCCCGGAAGTCTTCTCCTTCAGTCGCTATAGCAGCAAGTCAGATGTGTGGTCATTTGGTGAGTGTCCCTCTGTCCCCACACCCACAGGATCCAGGACTGCCAGCCAGCTGTTTTACTTGTCAGATCCAGGCAACTGTACTCACCCAGGACTCTTGGTGATGAGGGCATCCCACTGATAGTCTGTGTGTGATAACAGCTCTGAAAAGTATGAAGGAGCCTCATTGTTGCATTTGGTCTTAGAGATCTTTGAAATGGGGGGTAAAATGAGAACGGAAATGTGAGTTCCGGTGACAGCTTCTGTGAGATCAAAAGCTGGAGGAGTGAGGAGACTAGAATATGAGTTCCTTGAAGACCAGGACCATATTTTGTTCAAAATTATATTTTCACACTTAACCCTCAATAAATATTTTACTCATTTATTCAACAACAATTTATTGAACATCTACTATAAGCCGGGGCTAATCTAGGTACTCACGATGCAGTGGTGCCTGTATATGAAAGACTCCTATTCTCTTGGAGGTAAATTTTAGAGAGAGACAGACAACAATCCTGTAAACAAGCTAATAGTTATGTATGTAAGACAAAGTCACATAGTAATAAATGCTATGAATAAAACAAAACAGTAATGGGATAGAAACTGACTAGGATGGAGGGTCTGTTTTAAACTTTTTTTTAATGTTTACTTATTTTTGAGAGAGAAAGCACAAGCAAGAGAGGGGCAGAGAGAGAGGAAGACAGAATCCCAAGCAGGCTCTGCGCTGTCAGCACAAAGCCCAACATGGGGCTCAAACCCATGAACTGTGAGATTATGAGCTGAGCCAAAGTCGGATGCTCACCCTCCTGAGCCACCCAGGCAAGAGGGTGGGTTTAAATACCATAGTCTGGGAAGGTCTCTCCAAGAAAGTGACCCTTGGGCACAGATCTGAATGATGAGAGAGAACCATCTCCATTTGGAGATCCAGGGATCTTCATTGCTTTACAAAAAAACAGCAATTACAGAAATGTGGTGTGTCCAAAGGAAAGAGAGGTGCTGTCTTACTGAGAGAAGAGTAGACAACGAACTTGGCAGTCCATGATAAGGGATCAGAATTCCTGATAAGTGTAAATGGGCATGAATGAAAGGCCAGAATGAATGATGTCGGTATGGCAGAAAGTACTAAATATTCTTGCTGGTTTTGTCATATTATCCTAAGCCATAGTTTGTGTGTACTAAACTATGCACAACTGTACACAAACTATACACAAACTACTAAACTATACGCAAAAACATACCAATCTCTTTGATTTGGATTATAAGGGTTATAGTTTGGAAAGAAATGAGTTGGAGTTTGATTTTGCCATTGTGCATGAAGGGAATGTTTGCCAAGTGTATTGACCTAGAGTACCAGGGAGAAACTGACTAATTAAATCTCTTAAGAGAACTAGTTTTGAAGTCTTCCCAGCATTTTAGAATATCCAGTTCCAACAATCAAGTGGTTTGTTAATTTTTGGTTCTTCTGAACTGTTCCTTAAAACAGCTTCCCTGTTCAACAGCCTAGCTAAGACTTTGTTACTCAAATTTAAGTTATAGAACGAACTTGGAAGAAATAAAACTGCACCAGAGCCATTGCAGAAGATTCTTTTTTCCCCAAGTACCTCTACAATGGGGAAAGGTATGGCCGATGTGTAGCCACTCTCTGAGGGATGCAGCTGGTCACACTGCACCGAGCCACACGTTTGTAGTCATGGCCGCTTTGTCACATCCACCAGCCAACTCTGCATGAGGGCTTTTCTGCCATAGGTTGTCAGTTGTGAATTTTCTGTTGCATCTTATAATTAGAAGGTTTCACTTCAGTCCACGCCTGCCTGAGATGTGCCCCCTTAGTATCCAAAACTTAGCCTGCTTGATAGAAGCAGGGTGGAGAGGGTAGATCACAGGAGCGGCAAGCCTGAGAGACAGAAACCTGGGTGGACTGAGAACTTGATGCCTGCCTCAAGACCATTGAGATTTGTTATGCATTTTAATGCTTTTGCCCTAATTAGCTGTGCTATTTTAAGCAAGTCAAGTAAGCTCTTTGGGCCTTCCTCAGTTTCCAATCAATGCATTGCAAGGTTGGCATGAAAGCAATTGTTTTCAAATGAGCTTCCAGCAGCAGGCCTCGATTTTCCAAAGAAATCTCACTAGAAATTCTGGTATCTTAAGGAGCTACACAGTCCTATTCACAGTCAGTTTCCAAATTTCCAGAACTCCTGAGATGCCTCTTTAGACCCCTTAGAAATCCTGATCCAGAGGTCTGGGCTGGGGGCCCAGGATCTGCCATTTGAACAAACTTCTGAGGTGATTTTTATTCAGACGTGTTGGGAATCATACTTGGGAAAACTCTGCCCTAAGAATCTCTGAAATATGCTCTGAAAACCAAGGAAAGTGGTTATTTGCAAGCTCTCTTCCCATTCTGACATCCCATGAATATATTGGTACATAATAAAACTGGGTGGGACATTTGTTCTGAAAACAGAAGAGGAAAGGGTTTAAATCAGAGGTCAAAAATGGACAACTTGGAGATATTTTTTGTTCTGTCTACACAGTATTTTACTCTTTTTTTTCTTGGTGTTTATTTTGTGAGAGAAAGAGAGAGCATGAGCAGGGGAGGAGCAGAGACAGAGAGGGAGAGAGAGAGAATCCCAAGAAGGCTACATGCTGTCAGTGCACGCCCTGATGTGGGGCTCGATCCCACAAACTGTGAGACCATGACCTGAACCTAAATCAAGAGTTGGATGCTTAACCGTCTAAGCAACCAGGCACCCTCACAGTATTTTAAAAAATCAAATTGTATTTCTATTTTAAAACTCTCAGGTGCCTCGGTGGCTCAGTCGGTTAAGCGGCCGACTTCAGCTCAGGTCATGATCTCGCGGTCCGTGAGTTCAAGCCCCGCGTCGGGCTCTGTGCTGACAGTTCAGAGCCTGGAGCCTGTTCCAGATTCCGTGTCTCCCTCTCTCTGACCCTCCCCTGTTCATGCTCTGTCTCTCCCTGTCTCAAAAATAAATAAAACGTTAAAAAATTTTATTTTAAAACTCTCAATTTATGACTTCTTTTTAAAAACACAGAAAACGTTGCAATACTGAGCCCTCATCCCCATGTGCCCTATGTTGGCTGGAGCTAAATCACAACTGTCCTCTGAAGACAAAATTTGACCCTCAGTTCTCTACAGTCTGTCCTAGTCCCCATTCTGTCACATCTCACCCACTCCATTCATTTACATGATGTGTAACATTTCAGTTTGCATCCCCTGCAACTTTTAGTAGTAACATTTGAGTTAGCTATAACAAAGGGCTAAGCTTGAAAGTTCTTCATCACTAGAAAGACCGGGAAATCTCCGTTCTTTAGAAATACAGCTCAGGTGGCTTGCTATTATACTTCCTGAAGGTAGGGACTTGAACTTTAATGTCAAGGAAATTGCAATTTCTAGATGTACGTTTGGTTGCTGTTTGTGAACTGTAGCTGTGCTGCACTCCCCGTTTCTTGTAGGTGTGCTGATGTGGGAAGTCTTCAGTGAAGGCAAAATCCCGTATGAAAACCGAAGCAACTCAGAGGTGGTGGAAGATATCTCTACTGGATTTCGCTTATACAAGCCCCGGCTGGCCTCCTCAAATATCTACCAGATCATGAATCATTGCTGGAAAGAGGTCAGTAAAGGAAGCGGTTTCCCCCTGCCTCATCATCGACAACGTTAGGGTCTGTCACATTCTCTAGAGAAAGGGAGCCTCTTAGAGGATAAGAAGCAGGTAAGGCTGAAGTAGAATAGCAAGAAAGTGGGTTGGAATGTCTACTAACTAAAGAGGTTGCCCATCCCTCAAAGAGCTGGCAGTGACCTGAAATATTATTTGATCTGCAGTATAATTTCACAAGCCAAAACACTGTTAGAGAGGAAGAGGGGGTCAGACCTGTGCCAATATGCCAATTTTCTGAGAAAAGACGTCCATGACATCATAAAACCATCAAGTACACATGAAGTTAGCTCGTAAATTGGTGAGCAGAAGTTCACATGTGCTGTGCAAATATTAAAATGACTTAATTAGGGGGCCCCTGGGTGACTCAGTTGGTTGAGTGTCCGACTTCAACTCAGGTTATGATCTCCTGGTTCATGAGTTCAAGCCCCACGTGGGCTCGTTGCTGTCAGCACAGACCCCACTTCAGGTCCTCTGCCCCCCTCTCTCTACCCCTCCCCCACTTGTGCTCTCTCTCTCCCTCTCTCAAAAATAAATAAAACATGTAAAATAGAATAAAATAAAGAGTTCATTTTATTTGTTCAACAATTTAGACTGAAAAACCAATTACTCTGCACCCTCCCAGATGCCTCAGTTATCCCATGCTTGGGTTGCAGGCTGTATCTTAAACCACGTCATCATGAGTCTTAGATGTCCTTTGGATGAGTTAGAAAGTTTTAAAGTTCAATGACAATTGAAAGCTGCTGAACAGAGAATTAACACAAATTCAGATTGTTGAAGGATAATAAGGTGGAATTAAGAAAGTATAGGATACTTAGACTTTGTCCTAGCTTTGCCACTCCTTAGTCATTAATCTTGGGCAATTCTCTGAACCGCCTTTTTCTTACTCATAAGAGAATTAAATAATGCTTGATCTGTAAGTGCACAGAGGCTTTGTAGTCAGAAACAAACAATGAAGACATAAAGAAAGGCGCAAAACAAATCCAGTCCAACTTCACGAGAATTAAATGCTGTAATAATTATGATAGCTGAAATTTACTTAGCACTCTTTTCTTTTTTTGACTCTTTTATTGATTTTTAAGCTAATAGACTTTATTGTTTAGAAGTTTTCGATTTACAGGAAAAAATGAGCAAATAGTACAGAGAGTTTCCATATACCTCCCCCCCCATTAGTAACATTTTGCGTTAGTGTGGTACATTTGTTACAATTAATCAACCACTACTTATACATTAAAGATCATGGTTTGCATTAAGATTCATTCTTTGTGCTGTACAGTTCTAGGAGTTTTGACAAATATACAATATTATATATCTACCATTATAGTATCATACAGAATAGTTTCACTGCCTTCAAATCCAGTGGGCTTTCATCTATTTATCCATTCCTTTCTTCTGTCCAAACCCCTGGCAACTATTGATCTTACTGACCAAGTTTCACCTTTCCCAGAATGTCATATAGTTGAAGTCATATAATGTGTAGCCTTTTCAGATTGGTTTCATTCACTTAGCAATATGCATTTGTTGATTATTCCATGTCTTTTCTTGGCTTGATAGCTCACTTCCTTTTGTCACTGAATAATATTCCATTGGATGGATGTACCACAGTTTGGCTATCCATTCACCTACTGAAGGATATCTTGATTGCTTGCAGTTTGGGCAATTGTGAATAAAGCTACTATAAATATCTGTGTGCAGGTTTTTGTATGAACATAAATTTTCAGCTCCATTGGGTAACTATCTAGGAGTATAATCACTGGATCATATGATACCACTACATTTAGCTTTGTAAGAAACTGCCAGACTCTCTTCCAAAGTGGCTGTACCATTGTGCAATCCCACCAGCAATGAGAATTCCTTTTGTTCCATATCCTCACCAGGATTTAATATTATCAGGTGTTTTTGATTTTAACCATTCTAATAGCTATATAGTGGTATATCATTGTTTCGGTTTGCAGTTTCCCGATGATATACGATGTTGAGCATCTTTTCACATGCTTCTTTGCCATCTGTATCTCTTCTTTAATGAGATGTCTGTTGACATCTTTTGCCCATTTTTAAAATTTTTTTAATGTTTATTAATTTTTGAGAGACAGAGCGTGAGCAGGGGAGGAGCAGAGAGAGAGGGAGACACAGAATGTGAAGCAGGCTCCAGGCTCTGAGCTGTCAGTACAGAGCCCAATGCGGGGCTCGAACTCACAAGCTGTGAGATCATGAGAGTGGAAGTCGGACGTTTAACTGACTAAGACACCCAGGTGCCCCAATGGTGCATTTTTAATACATGATTTTATTTAATTCTCACAACAGTCTTAAGAGATAGATACTATTATTATCCCCATTTTACGGACAACAAAACTGAAGTTCAAACAAGTTAAGTAACTTGCTCAATGTCACACAGCTAATGAAAGGAACAGTTTAGATTCAAAAGCAGGCCGTATGATTCCTGAATACCTGCTGTTAACAACTGAGACACTATAGCTTCAAATACAATAAATATGGAAACACATTTGAAAATCAGCAGCACATTTTCAAATTCACATTTGAATTGTGGTTTGCTTTGGAATTAACTATGACACACAAGTACAAGGAACTCACAGAGTTCTTTTTTTCCCCTTCTAGAAACCAGAAGACCGGCCACCTTTCTGCAGACTCTTGAGTCAACTGGCTGAAATTGCAGAATCAGGACTTTAGCAGAGACTCAGCGCCAGGCCACGGGCTGCAGATCCTGAATGGGGGAAGCAGATTCTCCATTCATAGAGCATTAAAAGCTGCCACCAGCCCAGGACTCCCCAGAGGCAGCTGGTCTGTGGCGCCGGTCACTGAGCTGCCGCGGAGGCAGCACCCTGGCAGGGGCTGGCACCCAGCCGCAGGCAGGAGGCTCAGCCGCTGAACTGGGAGTGAAGCCAGAGCAGCCGCGATGTCTCTACCCTCCTTCCAGCCTCTTGTGTGTGGTGCACGAACCTCAATCTAACAGCTTTCAGGCAACGTTTCTTGCACTTCTTAGAGAAAAGGAGAGATGGGGTAGGACTGTGGATTATTATTTTTGTTATTATTTCAAACATGAAATATAAAGTTTATGGTCAAGGGTTTATGAGATCTAAAGCTTATGGTCAAGGGATTTTTACTTGACCTGACAACACAGAATCCCAGGATACGGGGCAAGAGAAATGAGGAGTGTGACTCTTTTTCAAGGAGAACCGGCGAACTAATTAAGGTCAGGAGGTGTAAACTCAGCCGCTGTGATGTCTTCAGCCGCAGCTTCCTGCCGTAGAGGATGATGGAACTAATGCTCACATCTGAGGCCGGATAATCTAGAAGCAGCTTAATGCATGTTACTCATCCAGCACAGTGCCACTTTCCTCCTTGAAGGGACACGATGGACCGGGGTGAACGATTTCTATCTCATGGCTGGGGCTGGCGTCTGGACAGAAAGAGGGCATCAAATGATGGAGAACCAAATGGTACAGAGAAAGGCCTTGGGCTGTTAGTACTCCAACACCCACCTTTAGTACCAAGCTGGGCAGGTCACTGTGCCTTCCCTTCCGCGCAGAATGCTTCTGCAGGCATCTTGGGAGAAGATGTTTCTTCTGAACCCTGACTCCCCCTGAGGACTCCACCACCAATTTTTCTGACCTCTAGGATTAGTCCCCTCTGCACTGTTCCACCCTCATCAGCAGAGGGCAGCATTGTGTCGGGCAGTGTGGTCTTGCAGAGAAATCCAAGCTTGTTTAGGCCCTAGAGGTTTGCAACTTCAAGGCTGAGGCTTCACATCTCCTGAAAGTCTCTGAGAGGAACGAGGGGTCTATTCTTGCTCAAACCATCTGGATAGAAACAGGCACTGAGTAGGGTGCTTTCAAGGCGCACAAGGCAGCCTACTGTTGATTGAGCACTGAAATCTGCACAGTGAACATGTACTGAGCTACAAGCCTTATCTGCAGAATTTCATTTCATCCTGAGTTCACACCAACCCCATGAGAAACTATTCTTATTCCCATTTTACAGATAATCGAACTGAGGCTTTAAAAAGCCAAGACACCTCCCCAAAGTGACAGAGCTAGGAAGTGTAGAGGCTACATCTGTCTGACACCAGTGCAGTTTCTTTATTTCTATTGAGCACTGTCTCCTACTGATGATGAAAGGGGTTGCAGAGAAGGAGATAAATATAGCTGGGGGAAAGACCTAGAAAGCCATTAAAGAAGTCAACACAGAATGATGTTTCTCCCACGTAGACCACTATGGTTGGCCATGTAAACCTCCAAGTTGGAATAGGATCTTCTTTTTCCTCATCTGTAGCTTCACCTTTGTTAGAATTAATGACTTTGGAGTTGCTCAATTAATTAACCCTTTGATTCACCCACCCCTCCAGAGTCATGTTGCAGGAAGCCATTTATAGATGAGCTTCAAAACAGCTTTGAAAGATCCTCCTGCGGGTGTATAAATGCTTCCTTTAATCATCATCTCAACTTTGAGTCAGCTGCACTCTTGGACATTTTGTGTTCACTGATGTAAGAGAGAGTTCGTTTTCCTACAGCATTCAGATGAAACTTGTAGAGAGATTATTGGGTAGTGTAGTCATTCACTCTTCTGTGTGATATTTTGACCAGCTAGAGATGCAGATGCATAGTTTTTAACTGTAACTATTGGGTTTTTATTTTTATTTTTTTATGTTTATTTTTGAGAGAGAGACAGAGTGTGAGCGGGGAAGGGGCAGAAAGAGAAGGAGACGCAGAATCTGAAGCAGGCTTCAGGCTCTGAGCTGTCAGCACAGAGCCCGATGTGGGGCTCGAACTCATGGACTGTGAGATCGTGACCTGAGCCAAAGTCGGACACTCAACCGACTGAGCCACCCAGGCGCCCCTCAACTATAATTATTGTGAAACTGGTTGCCTCAAGATAAAACTCTATCATTCAGAAGATGACCTTACTCAACATATTCAAAATCATCTCTGTTTACTTTTTGGCCTTTTGTACATTCTCTTGTGGAACCCTTAATTAGAGATGATTTCTGGAACATCCAGCCTAGAAGGAAAACATCAAAATTGACTGATTTCTGTGGTCTGGTTTCAAAAATTACCCCTTGCATGGTATTATCTTGTTCACGCTCAGATTTGCTGGGGCCTTAACTGAACATATGTCAATAGTTCACTCCCCAGTGTCCTATCCTGCAAAAGGGGCTTCCTGTCTGTTTCTCTTTTCCCCTCTCACATGTTGAAAATTGTACCATGTGTTCACAAAAAATTCTCTTATACAAGGTTTTGGTTCTAGACGCATTTTATAGATTTTGCATTTTGTACCTTTTGAGACTATTTATATTTAGATGTATTGAATATTTATTAGTGTACAGTCCCTGCTAGTATCCATGATAAAAATGTTACAAATATCTCTAACCATTTATAAAGCACACATAGTTGAAGGTTGGGTCTAGCAAATAAAGCTATATGTTTTAATAAATACAGTATATATGGCCTGGGTTCCATTTGCCCAAATGTCAAACAACAAAAATTTTCCTCAAATAAAAATGATTACATGGCTGTATGTTCCACAAGCAAGTAAAGACTATATATCATTCAGCATTTGATATAAATATCAAAGGTTTCTTGTGTTCCTATCATATACTCTACCGAGAGCTACAGAAACAAAGATGAAAAAGGCAGTCTTTGGTTTTCAGAAACTTCAGGTACAGTTAAGAAGGCAGACATATAAACAAGTAAAATCATCCAGCAATTAGAGCAACAACAGAAATATGGTCTAAGAGGAGAGGAGAGGAGAAAAAAGTTATGGAATCTATCAGGGGAAGGGTGACATCAGGAAAACTTCCTGGAACCTTGCTACTCAAAGTGTGGTCCCTAGACCAGCAATAGCAGCAAGACCAACTGGTGACAAGTGTGAATTCTCTGGCTTCACCCCGAAACTCACTGAACGAGAATCTGCATTTTCACAAAATCCACAGGTGCTCCTAAGCACATTAAAGTTTGAGACATACCGTCATAGAGGATGTAATGTCCGACTCAGTTTGGAAGATGAATTATGTTTTTTTCTAGCAAGCAAGTGGGCAGAAGTAAGAGAGATAGTTAACAGGTAGAACGATAAAGGAAATAGAATGTATGAGGAAGCTATTATCAGCTTATCCTTGCTGGAGTGGAAGTTGTGGGGATGGCCACGAGGTGTTGGCAAGGGTGAGGATGATTAAGCGGGGAGGCAAATTGAAACTGAATCTGTAAATCTAGATAAGGACCATATTTGAAAAGACAAGAAATGTTGGAACTCTACCTATAGATAGAAAAGATGTCAGTGTGCAAAGAGAGAAGGTCAAATTTCTGTTTAAAAATATATTCTGGCAGCAACACAGTGAGTGTATTTGAGAGAGGTAAAGCCGATAGAAGAGAAGCCAATATGAAGATGAATTTCGCCGTGTTCCAAGAACCAGATTATTGTTCATACCCATTCGCTGTCATCTGCTGTGTGGGTGACATGGAGAAATTGTAATTCGGAGTTCTTCAGTCACAGTTGGACAGCAATGAATAGCTTAGCTATTCCCCTGCCTCTTAAAGTCCCAGCGAAAAACAGGCTGGCTTATGTTTTTGGTGTGTTGAGCTCCCCTGTTGACCAAATGCCCATGTCCACTGCAGGAGCCGGTTCACACACCAGAGGACCACTGGGCACAAGTGAAAAAGCCTGCAACTTCTACTCAGACCTTTGTGGGACTCACCTTTGGGCTTGACTCCCACCGGGAAACGACCCAGATAGCAAACTCCTAAAGCGACTGGATGAACAGCTCTGCTTCTCAGCGTATTTATCCTGTAGACCCTATTCTCCCTGGAATCTCCCAACACAAAAGTCCACTGCCTTGTGGAAGAGGCAGGAACGTAACCCATTCAGCAAGATGGGCTGTGTGTATTTGTGTGTGTGTCTTCAGTGACTGTGAGATTCTCTTCAAGTCATGACGTGTAGTAGGCTTATGGGATCACAGAATCACACAGTGACTATTAGAAGGAGTTTTAGAGATCATTTACTTACTTTATAAATAATAGTTCCCATTCACCTGACATTGCTTGGCACCGTGTCAGGTGTATAAGATGAATATGATATCTTATCGGTTAGAGACCAAACACTTCACACTCAAATTAAGATAATTCAAGGAGGACTTATTTACAGAAGGATTATGTAGAACAGTGTGGGTCAGGTTTAGGAGAACCACAGAGTAGTACAGAGGAAAATAACAGCCAAGGAGCAGTTATCACCTTAAGGCCTGAAGAGACAGGAGGGAGAGTAGTCATTTGAATGTGACAGCAGAGAGTCACCTGGAGAAGGTCACCTTGAGAGGAGAGGACCTTTAGTAAGGAAGCCCGAGGCAACATCACAAGGAGAAATCAGGGGAATAAATACAATGGCCCTACTCTCCTCCCTTACCCCATCCACTGCTGGGGTTACTTGTTGGCCAAACCCAACTGAAAGCCAGAGGATGAGGAAACTGTAGCAGGGCCATCCATAGAGCTAAGTCCCCAAGGGAAAGAGCAGGGTGCAAAGAGTGGAGTGGATTTGGAGAAGGAGAAGATATCTAGTATGGACACCAGCCTTCCTAAAAGAAGCCCTTCGGCTACTAAAAAAGTCCAACACGTAAACAAACACAGTTGATGTTTATTATTTGCAGATTCTATACTTGCAAATTTGCCTACTCACTGAAATTTATT